GGGGAGAACTGACTCTGCATATTTTACTCTAACCCAGTTATTAGTTTGGACATTACAATCTTCTTCGAGGCGAATATAATAAAGCGTATACTCATTAAACCGCAGTCTGGATACTCTCATAACAGTATCCGTCAGAAAACTCGATAAACAAGAGAGGTACAGCTTAGAAATTTAAAACGAGTTAAGAGAGAAGCACGCGATCCGCCGATCTCTTATATCAAACTACAAAGTAGAGCATCCCGCAGTCAGACAGTAGAGTTGTTTGATAGCGAAGCTTGCGAAATAAGCAACTTTCAAAGAACTTGCTACTGCAATGCTTGGCGCTTGATGGATATGCTTTTATACTTTATTCTCTCTCTCTCTCTCTCTCTCTCTCTCTCTTTCTGTCTCTTCATTATATGCGGCTTATCCTTTCAGTCTTTCTGCATTCGTATTAAGTCTAATCTCCGATTATATAGGGATTAATGTCAGTATCGATTAATAAGCATACCGGCAAAGAGACGTATTAAGACAGTAAAAATCATGGCGCGGTCCCCTTTCTGCGGATTACGTTGACACTTCGCGCGTTTTCAGTATGACAATATCAATAAATTTATTAAGATTCCACAGCGTGACTTGGCGACGTACGTGTTTCCAGTCACGTATCAGTCGTCTAATAATCGGCCGATCGGGCTACGAGCCGTGCGCAACGTGTTTTGCATACAATCGCACGACTTGACGCAGCGTTTCGCGCGTTTTCGACGCTGTCCTCTTAGACGTTGCGCGTTTGTATCACTGGATCGACCTCCTGAAACCGGTGACATTTATCACGTTAACTCCACGCACGATGCAACGACTGAAATTACGAATCCATTACGAAGCCTCTACGGAAATGTTTGAATTATTTGTATATTGCGTAATAAACGTTCGAAAATTGCACGTTTTCAAATAAAAGTAACATATGATTATCATAAAATCTTTTAGTGAAAAGTTTTCCATTTTATTTGCGCGTGACAACCATAAATTTTAGAAAGATTAATGAAAATGTAAATTAATATACTGCAAATGAATAGGCCTCTTTGATATAAGTAAAAAATGTATAAAAAATAAAACGAGACACGCTTTCGTTCAAAGGTCCGTCGATAGACGTTACATAGATGGCTATCGGAATTATGGCGAGTCCCAAATTGAGCGTTATACACGCATTATAATAAATATCGATCGGGGTATACCTTTTTCAGGATCGGGCCGACGAATCATCCGCGTTAGTGGGTTGCGTCCTGGCGAAGTTCACGTTCGGAAGACCGTTACGCGAAGAAACAGCTATAAATCTGCTGGACACTGATTGCGTCCATAAATCGATCGACTTATTAAATCAATTAAATCGATTTATTAATTTTGACGCAGAAATCGCGCGGGACCGGTCGCCATCGCTCGCCAGGGTGATTGATTTATCGGCCTTAATCAATTTCCACGCCGAAAGTTTCGCATGAATAAGTAATTCCTCTTCCTGCGTGGTCCTCGGCTATTAGCAGATCGTCCGAATACCGGGTATTATCCGGACGACTTTCGGCGTCGTGACGCGGCGG